GAAGCTAACAGTGATGTTAGCCTGTTTTTACTTTTAATAACTGAAATATCTGACCATGATTTGTAAATACAGTATTGTTTTTTTGTTTTCTATTTAATTCTGTTTTGCATAATTGTTTTTTTATTTTACACAATACTCGTGTTGTTCTTTGTTACTAAAGAGATTGTTAGTTCTGAAGATTCTGACACAAATATATTTTTTCATTTAGCTTTTATTCCAACACATAACTCATATTTACACTATAAAAAAACATTCACCCACATTTGTAACTTTAATTAAAAAAAAAGATAAATACAAACATTCTCACAGCTCAAAATTCATTCAAAAATCAACCTGGAGACATTTTTACAAACTTAAAACATTTAACATCTCCATCACTTTGTGTCACTGCAGGAGAACCAAAGAGTCGAGGGGCAGAGTGTCACAGAAGCCCCCAGAGAACAGAGGCCCACACTGGGCAGCCTGGAGCCTTCTGCACGACGACGTCTGCAGGTCGACGTAGAGCGGCGTAGAGGCGGCCTGGGGGGCGGAGTAGAGGGCCGGCGAGCCGGCCTGGGGGGCGGAGTAGAGGGCCGGCGAGCCGGCCTGAGGAGCGGAGTAGAGGGCCGGCGAGCCGGCCTGAGGGGCGGCGAGGGAGGAGAAGTGTGGGGGAGTCAAGTGGGAGGAGGGGAGGAGAGGAGGAGAAGAGGAGTGATGGAAGGAGGAGGAGTAGAGGGGAGGAGAGGAGATGCAGGTGTCCCACTGCGGCACCACGGCGCTTGGTGAGTAAGAGTATCCCTGAGAAGGAGGAGGGGAGGAGGAGGCATGGTCCGGTACATGCATGTAGGAGCTGGAGTGAGGAGGAGGAGGGAGGAGGAGGGAGTCCTGGAGGTGACACGGGAAGCTGCTGAGGGGAGTGTCTGAGAGAGCAGGGAACTCAGTGCTGCTGCCGTCGTAGTGCATGCTGGGAAGTTGAGGGCTGGGCTCTGACGAGGAGTCGGAGGAAAAGGAGGAAGAGGAGGAGGATGGAGGCTTCTTTCCAGCAGTCACGTTATCGGCCTTCCTCTTCCTTTTACGGCGAAAGTTTCCGTTGTCCAACATCTTCTCACAGTTTGTGTCCAGAGTCCAGTAGTTTCCTTTTCCTGGAGAGAGGAAGAGGAGGAGGAGGAAGAAAAGATCTATTATTGCAACAATCTTCTCATCAGAAGACACGTTAGGTTTTAACGATTATAACTAGAGTTTAATTTGTGTTAGAAAACACTATAAAAACTGTACTCGACTTACATAGAAGTAAAATGTTCCTGTTACTGATGACTAGTTAGGTTAACAAAATAAAAGCCCGGTGCTGAAGACTGAAGCTCACCTGGGTCGTTCTCGTGACGGGAAACCTTCCGGAAGCAGTCATTGAGCGACAGGTTGTGGCGGATGGAGTTCTGCCAGCCGGCCTTGTTGCAGCCGTAGAAGGGGAAGTTGTCGGCGACGTACCGGTAGATCTGGTTCAGGGTCAGCCGCCGCTCGGGGGCGCTCTGTATGGCCATGGCGATGAGGGCGGAGTAAGAGTACGGCGGGCGGACCAGACGAAGAACCTCCTCCGGGGTGGACACGGAGAACCAGGGGAGGAGAGGCCTCTGGAGGCCGTACAGGTATTGGAGGAGGCCTCCAAAGGCTGATGGGAGTCCTGATGGGAGTCCTGGTGGGAGGCCTGTGACGGGGCCCAGGTCTGGACTGGAGAAGCAGACGTAGGGGTCACCGTTGTTGCTGGTCTGGGAGATCCAGGGGGACCCAGACAGGCTGGACTCTGGAGGAGCCGGAGGGCTGTACAGGCTGAAGTCGGCCGGATCGAGGCCCAGAGACGAGAGCTCCTGCTGGGGGATAGAGCGTCCACTCGGAGGGGAAGAGGACACCATGCTGGAAGACTCACCTGTCCTGCTCTGTACACCTGCTGCTGCTCACCTGAGGAACTTATACTCTATGCCCCGCCCACGGACGAGCTGATTGGCTCTCTCTCTCTCTCTCTCTCTCTCTCTCTCTCTCTCTCTCTCTCTCTCTCTCTCTCACACACACACACACACACACTCACATGCATAAGCGTGTGTGTGTGTGTGTGTGTGTGTGTGGTGGGGGGTTCATTTGAATGAGATGAATTCCTCCCCTCAGGCAGATAAGAGCATTTAATGAGGTATGTCACCACACACACACACACACACACACACACACACACACACAC